TCCCGGGCACACATCGTCCCAGCATCCCGACACCCCGGGCACACATCATCCCCGCATCCCGACACCCCGGGCACACATTGTCCCCGCATCCCAACACCCCAGGCACACATTGTCCCTGCATCCCAGGATCCCGGGCACACATCGTCCCTGCATCCCGGACACACCTTGTCCCTGCCTCTCGACATCCCAGACACGCGCCATCCCTACGTTGCGGGATCCCCGGCCACGCATTTCCCCTGCATCCCTACATCCCAGGATCCCCGGCCACACACCATCCCCACATCCTGGGATCCCTGGCCGTGCATCACCCCTATATCCTGGGATCCTCAGCCACCCGTCACCCCTACGTCCCTGGGATCCTGGCCATATATCACCCCTACATCCCAGGATCCCCAGCCACGGAGCGCACCTCCTAACCTACATCCCGGGCTCCTGACCGTACATCCCACCTACATCCCGGCATCCCCAGCCACGTGTCACCCCCATCCCGGGATCTCCCGGCCAGGCAGCTCAGCACCACGTGTGTGTCCCCCCGTGCCCAGCTGCCCCCTGCTCCCAGCGAGCACACGTACATTAGCCGGCCTCAACTGATGTCAAGGCACCGTTAATTGCCTCTCCTCGTTACAGTAATAGCTCTAATCACTCATAACGATTTTCACGTCCCAGGGCGGCTCAGCTGCCCCCGCCCGCCCCAGGGCTCCATTAGGATCAAGCCCACCCGCAGCCGGGGGGTCCGCTGTGGCCACCCTGAAACGGCGCTTCCCGGAGCAGGGCTGGGCACCGAGGTCGCGGGGACTGCGGGCTGCAAGGGGTCCCAGGCTGGGGACATCGAGGCCGGGACAAGCCGGGGCCATCCGGAGCCGGGGACCCGGTGTGGAAGCGATCACCCCCCCTCTGATGCTCTTAAATAAGGTGTCCCCAGGGCGGCGGGGAAATATTGCTCGGGGACACTTCAGCGGCACTTCAGCTGCGCCTCAGCGCTGAGATGCCTCTGCAGGTCCCCCGAGACCCCCGGTGCCGGAGAGGATGGGGACCCCCAAGTGCACTTAGGGGCGGCCGGGGGCTGCGTGGGGTCCAGCCAGCGCTCAGCCCCCCCCGGGACCCACGGTGCTGGGACGCAGCTGCATCCCCAGCCCTGATGTCCCCCAAAACCATCCACCCCATCCTTGGGGGGGGTGGGGAACCCCAAAACACATAGCTGGTCCCCTTAGGGGGCACCTGCGCCTCCCCTAAGCGGCTTTGCGGAG